AATTTCCACGTCCCAAAGCAATAATTTTCCATACTTACGACTGTTTTCACAACTATTTACCGCCTTCATTTTTAATACTTTTAATGACTTTTCCACAGTCCATTTAATTTCTGACTTCAAGTGACCGACAATCTATGAACTGCAATGCTCAGAAGTAAAATTATGAAATGACGTCTCACTCAGTCTTAAATTAAACACATGTGGCACGTGTCTATTTACCTGCCACGTAGACTTTATCCACCAGTCCTGGCCCACCAGTCTTGGCGGTTTATGCCGTCGTGCCAACATTAGCCAGGATTTCTAATGTGCGTTATTGTAGCGAATGTTGCCGGGAGCAGTTTGCGTGCTTTTCGACTGATTTGTCGCCTTAAGTCGTGCGGTGGATTTTGAGCAACACTCTGAGCTCTAAACTCAGAGACATTTTCTATGCTGTTCTCATGCTGGGCAGGTGGGGTCAATAGCTCACATTTGCGGTTTTAGAAAATGTTCGGGAGGTGTGAGTTGATGTGGGCAAAAACACCGAAAAATGTCAGAAAGGCATTTCGTGTAAAACGTCAGAAATTAAACTTGTTAACAAGTGCCAACGACAACAAAGCTGTTGAGTTTGTTTCAAATCGGCACAATTTTGAGGAAATTACTTAAATTGTTTCACAAATTTTGAACAAAGTAAATGTCTGTATTTTTCATCGTTTTTATCTCGTTTTGCGTAAGTTCTTATCTCACTTAAGACTTCTTAAACGGCCTGGAATTAAACGAAAAATGCTAATTCATTCCACTGCACAGCAAAATAACTTAATGACTGACTACCTTAACATTGAAATATAATAAGGAATGAATCAACCTCAGTGTTATTACGAAGATAATCCATTTATTAATTCAGTATAAACGCTTTTTAAACTTAATGATGTGCCATAATTGTTTATCTAAACTTTAAAAAATGACTAAGTAGCGAGTAACTCATATCTAAACTTAGTAATTAATTGAGCAGCAAACAACTGAAAATTGTTTTAATTCAATTGTATCTTATTAAACAATTAAATACTTTAACTGACTTACTCACTGCATAATCTATAACTACGTCTAATCACTCTCTCAAGAATTTCAGTATAAAAATAGATATCTGTTAAAATTACCCACAATATTTCAATAAATTAACAACTACTCTATTTGGTTTTCTTTGAAAAATTTAAACAAAATTAGAAAAAATAAAAAAATTTGGTGAATATAAGAGTAAACGTTAACACCTGTTGCAAATATTCTCTTATCAAAGAAAAAAAAACTTTGTTTGAATAAGTTTAGTTAGGGGGTTTTTTTCTTTTTGACTTAAAATGACAACCAATTAATGACCAATGTTGATAATGAAAAAATTATTTAAAAATCATTTCAAATAAAATTAGTTACTGCTACTACATAAATTTAATATGAGTTAATTTTATCGAACAAACGTGACTAGCAAAATGCTCCTTATCGCTTTCATTCATCAGAAACAAATTTATTTATTTATCGCAAATTATTAGTTCTTATTTTGAATGAAGTTCAATTAAAACCAAAGTTATGAAAATTTTCTCATTTTTTTTTTATTTAAATAAATTTAAAATCAGACGCGAACTTCGCAAGTTTTTCACTTAAGTTAGTTCAGTTAGTTTCCCAATTGATTATAGCGCTTTTTTACTTATAGTCAACAAAACTAATTCTATTGGATTGAAAGTAGATTCCATTGAGTGCAATATAACTAAGCCAGTGCTTTCCCAAATATGCACTTGCAAACATTTCTATAGTCTTTAACCTCTTCAGGGAATTTCTTCGCTGTCCACAATAGACTCGAAACCCCTATATCGTCATGAGATATCTATCTCATCTTCGGAATTGAAACAAATTACGTGAAATCACACAAAGTTTTTCTGATGATTTTGAAATTGCTTTCATCGTGTTCAATACAACAACACCACTGTTTGACCACATATATGTATGTATTTTTCATAAGCTAATTGAGATATAGTCTCCAACTCCTTCAGGGAATCGACTTGAAACCTTTTCATCGATATGCTAATATTATCTTCAGAATAAGAAACAAGTCAAATGCATACTTTAACTAATACTTTAACTTTAATTTTTAGACAGCTATAACTCGAACTTCTGGGATAGGCAGCATGGACTACCAACAACCAACTTAAAAACTAGAAATTGCGTTTAATAAATTATATATATAGAATCCATTCGCCATTAATTATTTTTTTTTTCTTTACTATCATACTAAATTACAGATAGGTATTTGTGAACATCAAAGTAGGTAAGTCTTACCTACTTGAAATACAAATACGTAATCTAACAAATGATTAAAATAAGTAAATAGGTGCCTCTTTCTTCTCTCGTCTGAACATTTCTGATTGAAATTATAATTAATTAAAATATATTTATAAGAAAGAATAGTGAACATATCCAAACTCATTGAATTTCTGAACAATTTTTAAAACATCTCAAGAAAATATTGGCTTCTTTTCTTAAATATGCACTCAGCTCATTTGTAGAACAGATTCCATGACAGAGATTCATTGATTAATTTATTCAATATAGAGATGTTAATATAATGGAAAAAGAGTGTCCTAAAACTCATTGTGGTTACTATGAGTATGAGTTTCTTACTTGAAATTACAACACCAGAGAGATGCTAAAATTATATTACAATGCAAGTACATCTACTTTCTGGAGAAAATCTTTGTGGAATTGAAAATGATTAAATTTTGAATTAAGCGACTTGTACTATAAACAAATAATATTTAAATACTATTTTCGACAAGTTGATCGTATACTATATACCTACTGTTATGGGAAAATATTGTTTTCCTTGTAATGAGTGTTCCGAAATAAGACACATTTAGGGAAATAAAGGTAATATTTCTATAATCTTTCTTAGTTCCACTCTATCAAGCATGGTCTGCTGAAAAAAACTTACATTTACACATATAGTGATATAAGCAGATAAAAAAATTGCATCAAAAATATGCAAATCAAGTAACAGATATGTTATCATAAAAACTATATCCAAGTTAAGCCAAAATGCCAGCTCATAGCACCTTAAGTGGGTAGAAATTAACAAATGTGCTAACTAAAGGAACAATCATTTTTAAAAAGTTTATGAAATTTTTTCCCAGCATTTTTACTCTGTATTACTCGTTTGCGAAATTTTTGTGAAAATCATATTGATATGTGAAACTCATCATTGGTCTTGGTTAAATCCTTATTACTTTCAATCAGATTTAAAATTAAACTGATTATCGTTAAAATGATGAGTTCGCTTTAACTTGCGTATGTTTAGGTTGGAGTAGCAGCTCACTTAAACATGAATAATGTTCAAGTACCTGTTATGGTGCTGATAACACGGATAGCCTTTATTACTTTTAAAGCAGGATATATTATAGTATTACAATCAGAAGATAAAAAAGTACTAGTGAAACCTGGATCACAAATTTCTTACTACAATTTTCATTTTAATTACAAATAAATTTCAACTAAACTGCATTAACCGTTTAATTATGAAACGCAGGGATGAAAAAGGATTGTTACAGATCATTACAGAAAAGTTATATCGAAAAAACATACCAAAAGACAGGTTATCTATTGAACAATTGTAGATTTCCTGTTTTTAAATAAAAAGGAACACAAAATAAAAAAATATGTCTTTAACCATTCAGAATACGAGAACAATAGTTGTCGCTTCATCTTTTTAGTGCCGGAAGGGGAATGATTTAGCTGATTGATAGCACTACAAAAGATCCAACTCAATATCCAAAAATAGAATCCACAAGAGCTTATACAAGTATTATTTACTGTAAGGTAGACGTGGAAGTAACTTATGGTTAAAAAAAAATTAAATATTTTATTTTCTCAACATGAACGATATTGTACTCGTAAAACAATGGTTTTAAATATTTGAGGTAAATTAAAATTCTATTTATTATTATAGAAGTTATTCGTTTTTAAATTAATAAGAAAATTTTTAAATAATTTTATGCTTGAAAAACATTTATTTAAACTTTTATATACAATATAAAAGAGCGTACTAAATATAATTTATTTATAAATTTATTAAAACCAATACAAGTCTACGTATTTGTGTAGACTTTATTCTTACAATCATTTTTATTTTCAGATAATTATTTCTAATTTTGACATACATATATAATATTTATATAATATATAATATTTTTATATCTTAAATCGAACAAGACACAAATCTTATTGCTTCAATTCTGTTCTTATTATATTTGTGGGATTAATACAGTCTTCTAAGTTTGTATAAAAAATCCTTATGAACCGGGAAGTGATTTATTTTTTATTGACTCTGAAGTATATTTTAGTGATGAATCATATTTTATTTTTATTATTGGGATTGGTTGGGTCTATTTTTGAAATTATGTCTCATCGACACTCTGCCCCGCTTCTGAGTAAACATATATTTCTCATAATAATTTTAATTATTTGAAATAAAAACAAATAAACAATGTAAACATGATTGTGTGTGAAACAATGTGCTTGCTCACTGGCATACCTGAGTTAATGGTAAACAATGCTTTACTCAGGTAAAAACGTGGCCAAGACCCAAACAATCCATTGTGCGCTGGTAGCGCTGACGGCACATCGATAAAATGTTTGGCAATAGCGACGCGATGTGCTCCAATTTAGAGCGATAATAACAAATCGGAATCAGAGTACAAACTCAAATGAAAACGAAAGCAATTTATTTAACGAACAATGAAATACAATTCAAGAATGAAAAAATTCATAAAATTCATGAAATTGTAAATTTTTTAAAACAAAATCGGCATTGGAAGAGCAATTTTTCACTTCACCGACGAACACTATGAGTTCTCAATGAATTTAGCCTGATTTTTTTGGCAATGAAACTAAATGAAAAACACTAGACACTAGAAACTAAACACTAAACACTAGATAGTAGACACTAATTTTAGTAACTTAACTTAAGTAAAGTAATTCGTAAATCTATGAGAACAATTCGTTTGAATTTATTTATTGTGGTATTAACTGAGAGCGTAGATTACATTTTCGTGCAATACTGTTGATTACTGAAGCCGTTCATTGTGTTGAGGGTGTAAGGTGGCGGTGTGGATATGACTTCCTGTAAAGTTGTAGTGGTAGGAGCACGTGGAAGGCTTAGCTTTAAGTTGCACATACGTCCATCTTTGTGCAATTTGGCGACGCAACGCGTCATAATTACAGCACCAACAATGCCCAGCAGAATGCCGACAAGTACATCGGACCAGTGATGCCAGTTATCCATAACGCGACTCAATGCCGTAAACCAACCAAGCATTAGTAAAATGAATTGTAGGAAATGACGCAGCAATTTAGAACCTCGCCAGGTTAATCGGTAGTGCAAGTAAATTGCTAGATAAACAGTGACATAGAAGGCAATGCTGGAATGTCCACTTGGAAATGAAAGCCTCGATTGGCGGACATCTTCAATTCTATAACCATTTCCAGCACATACATAGTTTTCAATATAGCGATGTCGATTTGATAGATCATTACAAGTGGTGCCATCAGTTAGTATCGGCTGACAAACTGCCATGAAATGTGGTCTTAGACGACCTATGGTATATTTACCCAATTCGGTGGCGTCCAATACGAGCAACATACCAAAAGTAAATGTTGAAATTTGCTTGGAGCACTCATACAGCCAAACGGGCATTCTCCAGCCAAAGAA